TACGCGGTATTACGCCGCCTGCTCGCGAGACGCGAGTTTCCGAGTGGCTCTCCCCAGTCTCGCGCGTTCCCGTCGCTTTGCTTCGTCTCGAAGCCCGGTTTCCGAAGCTCGAGAGTGCGCCGGATACGACAAGTGTCGTCGCTACGCGACGCGAGATCCTTCGTTTCTCGCACCGTGTGCGATCTCCGTGTATTCCCTTTTCTTTCTTTCGCGGGAGAAAAGAAATTTCGAATTCGAAATTTTGTCTCTTCGATGCTCCACTCTCGACAGATTTCGACCGTTCACTCGTCGTATACATACGTATCGGGGATCCAGGTGATATTGGACAAAAGGGTGGAGATTTTTCACGTGGACGATGATTCGAAGGTGGCCGATGATTCGGTTTGATCGATGGTGAAGTTTTCGTACGGATGGTCGCGGATCGTGGACGTGAGAGTATTTGATCGAAACAGGCGGAGAGGCGTGAATTTCGGTCGAATTTCATCGCGGCGAAATCACGAGGTGTGGGGAATTGGATTTTTTTAAAAGCAATTTTCGCGGGGGAATTACGTTTCGTCCGGCGCGCGGGGAGAAATTTTATTTATCGCGTGCCGTGTTTGGCTTGTGGGCCCCGAGTTTTTGGACTCGATTGAACACTATTAAACGAATTCGCATAATTACGCCGTCCCTGATAAGATACGTAATTTCCTGTTTAAAATTCTTGATTATTGTTCAACGCACTCGTTTAATATCGCCTTGCGCTCGGGGTGTTTGTGCAAAAAAACTTTTACTCCAATACTTTCCTTCGCTTCCACTTTTATTACGGTTGTAACAGTATCTTGGATTTCATTACGACTTTAATCTACGATTAATTTCTTTACATCGCTGATACGAAGTTTCTTCGACCGTATTAATAATTTACACCAAAATTTATTGCAATCTTAAAATTCCATTTTTAACGACAATCAAAAACTTAAAAAAAAAAAGAAATCCGTTAAAATTCCTTCACATTCTGAAACAACCCAATTTGCTCTCTGAAAAAAATTGCTTCGAAAAAATCAATCGACTTCTTCCATTCCATTCTGTTTCCTTTCTCTTTTCGTAACCGATCTCATCGGGGTTGACGCGAAAAGTCGATGGGAACGGAGGTTAGCTCGAGTTAAGAAAAGTTCGCGACAATGTGATCCAGTGTTTTCGTTTAATCAGCAAGCCTGGAGGCGCCTGGGGCCCGGATTTGGCGTGGCCCGCTCTTCGAAAAGACGGTTTGACACTCGTTAAACAAAAGCAAGCGGCGTGATAAATAGTGCGGCGCGGACATCAAGCGTGGAATTTAATTTCGAGAAGCGGGGGAGGGAGGAGCCCGCAGCGGCGCGCGGGAAACATTGTTTCCATCGAGTTGGAGCGCGCACTGATTACACAACCTCGTCGTCCCTTAAGCCTCATTACTGAAAATTTCCATACGGCTTAGAGCGCATTGAGCTGCGCGAGTGCACGAGAGCGCGCGTAGTGGAGGAGGAGGAGGAGGCGCGTCCGCATCACGATTCGCCTCCAGTCCCTCGCGAGCTATGAATTAGCGTCCCTTCGTCGTTTCCTTCCCTCCCCCTCGTCCACACAGACGCGGAGGCTTTTAACAGAGCGAGAGTGCTCTCTTGACTTACGATCGCCGTTAGTCTCTCTCTCGTTTCCTGTTTCAATTTCGGCACGCGCCTTAACCGCGTTTCCACGCTCTTCGCCTCGTTTCCCTAGTTCCGAACGCGGCTGTGTGAATTCTTTTCAAAGGTTCTAGCTTCAGATTTTTGTGGAAGTGAAGGAAAAATACTTTCGATGTATAAGTTTCTTTTGTCTTATATATGGGTCGAGTAATATGGAGCATGTAAGTTAAAAATCACGAAAAGCAAGAATTATTTGCTAGTATAGCGTATATAATTTTTCTTTAATCTTTGTGAAAACGTTTTCTTTAATCTTTGTGAAAACGTTAAAATAAAATAATGGACGAATAATGGTAAATAAAAACGTGTGAATAAAAATTGGAAAAAAAAAAGAAAATTTTCAAACTCGTGTTCGTGTTAGAGAAAACGTTGCATGCTTTGCAACGTTCACGTGCTTCGAACGCGCTCGAGTACGTGGCGCCCTCCTTGCGAACCAGATACCACGATCATCCTCCATCCACCGTATTGCTCTCCCGTACAGAGATCTTCTCGGGGGCATGGTTCTCTCTTGGTTCTCGAGGAACCGGTATCTACCCACGAACGGTCATGCCGGTCATTAGTCCGACTAATGTAACGCTTCAAATTCTATCGGGCCATGATTCGTTGCATCCTCCCACTGGAGAGTCGACGAATCGTTAATATAGAATGGGGAACACGCCCGATTCTCGAGAGATTCCAATGCTTTTCACTTGGTCCATTTTTTCTCTCCACCGAATAGAATATAGATTACGTCGAAGCGTAATCTCTCTCTCTCGAGCCGTAATTTTTCTTCTATTTTTCTCTCTCTCTTTCGTTTTTTTTCTTTTCTTTTTTTTTTACGTCTCGACGTTGATTGTTAGCCGAGTTGTACGTATGTTTTGAATTAATCGACGATCGAGAAGAGTAGTGGATGCGACTCGTTAGTTGAAGAGAGTTTCCGTGTTACTTGTTTTCCACGGGTTTTGCGATGGGATGAAGCGATCAGCAGGTCTGATAGAATCGTCAAGAGAGTGGAAACACGGACAAGGAGTACAACGAATCGATTATAACCGGCGGCTTGCTTTTTCCCTCGTTATGGGTGATTAAACAATCGTGTTTCGTCGCGTCTGTTCGCGTCCGTGGCCAAAGTCTCGAGTGGCTCGTTAATGTTCGAATGGTGTGTCTGTTTTATCCACGAGAGGCACCGGCGACTAATGTTAATCTCGTGTATTTATAATGTGAGAAGAAATTCGTCACGAAATGTATTCATCGTGTAAAATAAACAGACGCCTGTGTAAAAGTGTCGATTGAAAAGTTACAATAAAATCGAGGAATCATCGTGAAAAGATACAAGAGAGTGTTGTTTATCCCGTATCGTTTCTCTTGAAAAATTCCTATTCCCGATCGACAGACATCCTCCTTATTAAAGAATCCTCTTTAATAAATAGACAGGATAGACAATAAATATCGTCCCCTCTTCAACTAACTCTCCTCTTTCCTCCTGCTCTTCGGTTATCGTATTACCAATCTAAAGAATCGAAATCAAAAAGTATCTATATTCAACGTGTGTAAGGAGATGCAAAGAGTTTAGGGTTAACCGCGGCATTAATAGAGTCGAGTCACGTTCCACGTACCGCGATATCCTTAAATCGTCCTCGAACAGAGAAGAGACTCGATCCGTTGACCCACGATCCACGGGTTTGTTACACATCTCCGTATCGATTCCCCGGCTACTTTCTTCCTTTTTATTCTTCTTCTTTTTTCCTTCTCCTCTTTTTTTTCCCTTTTCTCCTCGATGCCGCACGGTTCGATCGCGCACGATCGAGGAAGAAAGGGGCGAGAAGTTGAGCCAGCCGAGGCGATGAAGATATCAAACGGATGCACGTCGGATAAAGAGGTGAAGAGGCACTCCGATCTGTAGGTTGTATAAATACCACCAGTCATGGAGACGAGAGTGCTTCGTAAATATTGATCGTTATTCTTGCGGTTCCCGTAGACCGCGGAAAAAGAAAGGCGCGTCGTTGGAAAAGCCAAATCCTATGTACACATCAGGAAAGGATGGCCATTTCGAGGGCCTTTCCACTCGCGGTCGAAACGATTGACCGACAACTGGCGGGATTCGTCGAAACCGCAGACATTCCGGAAGGCAGGCAGGCAGGCAGGCAGGCAGGCAGGCAGGCAGGTGTGTCCACACGTCGGTTCAGAGGCAACTTTGTAGGGTAGTGTTTACGCGAAAACCTGCGAAATGTTCGGTTTGTGTTTCCATCGAACTCCGAGACTCATGCTCGAACAATTTTCGAGTTTCCAACGGGGAGGGAACGCGTTGATTACTCGTCTCTGGCGATCCTCCGCGATCGATAAAACCGCGCTTCTTCCGGGACTATTTTTGAAATTAATCGAGTCTTTATAATACTTTAATTTCGATCGACGTAAACCATTCGAAGTCTTTCGATTCGACGTTTAAATTTGATTTCCCATGCGGTACGAATTGGAACGAATTTATTAGAAATTCGCTGATTCAGCACGTACGCCACGTCATATAGAGCAGATGGCGTCTCAATTCTTGGTAAACGAAAGGAATGTGTCACGGGGAATCGTTAACACGAATATTATGAAAAGTTTAATATCGAAACAATTTTCGATTCCTGCTTATCATTCGAATTCAGAGCACAGCCAGAAATCTATCTAATTCCAAACCGATTTACCGATTTCCATTTACCGTGGAAGGTTCTGAAACGAGTGCGGCCCCATAATGAATTTTCGAGCG